CAACGTAAAGACATAAGATGACATAACCATTTTCAGTGTCTTGGATGTAGACACATTAGTTGCACTCATTGATTTTAAATCCATATTCTATCATGACATTATAAAATTTTTCATGTCATTGTTTTGGTACTTGTTTCAAGCCATATAATGACTTCACCAATTTACAGACTTTCTTTTCATGCCCTACAAATAAAAACTCATCGGGTTGTTCCATATAGATTTCTTCATCTAAGTCTCCATTTAAAAATGAATACTTCAAGATTTTGTAGAGCAGTAATCGCAAGTATCATCCTAATAGATGTTATTCTAGTTACTGGAGAATATGTATTAAAGTAATCAAGGCCTTTCCTTTGTCTGTAACCTTTTATTACTAATCTGGCCTTATACTTTTCAATAGTTCCACCTACTTTCGTTTTCCGTTTGAAAATTCATCTGTAGCCTAGTTGTTTACTTCCTGGAGGAAGATCCACTAGCTCTAACGTATGATTTTGCAAAATAGAATTTATTTCACTTTTAATGGCCTCTTTTCATTGAGGTCCTTCTAAGGAGTTCATAGCTTCTTTATAGTTTTGAGGTTCACTTTCAAGCATATATGTCAGAAAATCTAGACCATAAGATTTTTCTATCATTTCTCTCTTGCTACATCTTGGTTCAACCTCAACCTCCTCTTCTAGTTCTTGGTCCTAATTATTTTCGGTCATAGTCTCATATGTTCATTTAGAAGAGCTTGCTTTTTCTTTGGACCTATATGGAAATACATGTTCAAAGAACGAAGCATTTCTCGATTCCATCATCGTGTTTTTTTTGTATATCTGAGATTTTAGATTCATAAACAAGAAACCGATAAGCACTACTATTTTGTACATATCCAATAAAGATGCAATCTACAGTTTTTGGGCCTATCTTCACCTTCTTTGGTATTGGGACACCCACTTTAGCAAGACACCACACATTCGTAAGTATTTATATGAAGACTTTTTCATTTCCATAACTCATAAGGGGTCTTTTCCATTTTCTTTTGGGGGAACCTTATTTAAAAGGTAATTTGCTGACAGCACAGCTTCCTCCCACATGTTCTGAGGTAATCCAGAACTTATTAGCATTGCATTCATCATTTCTTTTAAGGTGCGATTTTTCCTTTCAGTAACACCATTTTTGTTGCGGTGAATAAGGTGCGGTGGTTTCATATATGATTTCGTGTTATGCACGGAATTCAGCAAACGGAGCTTCATACTCACCACCTCTATCACTTCTCTACACCTTAATTTTCTTATTAAGTTGATTTTCAACTTCATTCTTATAGAGAATAAATTTTTCTATCGCTTCATCCTTACTTTTTAGTAAATATACATAACAGTATTTTGTGCTATCGTCGGCAAAAGTAATGAAGTACTTGTTGCCACATCTTGTTTGTACAAATTTTAAATCACATATATCACTGTGAATTTAATCAAGTGGTTCTGTATTCCGTTCAATTGATTTAAATGAT